TGAGTGTGCTGTATGTTTGGTGTGAGTGTGTGCATGTGTGTGCATGTGTGAATGTGTTTGCATGCATGTGTGTGAGTGTGTGTATGTGTGAGTGTGTGTGTGTATGATTGTGAGTGTATGTGTGAGTATATGTGAGTGTGTATGGGTGTGTGTATGAGCGTGTGTGCATATGTGTGTGAGTGTGTGTATGTGAGTGTGTGTGTGAGAGTGTGTGTATGGGTGTGTGATTGTGTGAGAGAGTGTGTGTGAGTTGTCTGTATGAGTGTGAGTGTGTGTGTGAATGTGTGTGTAAGTGTGAATGTGTGGGAGAATGGGTGTATGGGTGTGTGTGTGTATGTGCCCATATGTGTGCATGTATGTGAGTGTGTGTGTGTGTGTGTGTGTGTGTGTCTGCCTGCCTTGGTTTGAGAACAAACTGGTACAAGGCGATGTAGTGTAAGGGGTTATAAATACAGACTCGAGTCAGACTGGCTGAGTCACATCTGCCAGCGCCACCTCGCTGAGCCCTTCTCTCCTCATCCCATTGGCGATAGCTTTGGGCTTATTGGAGAAGTGAGAGAGGTACCAGCACCAGTGAGGCCCAGCTGTGGCTGCTCCTTCCCTTGGGCGAGAGCAGCTCCTGCCGGCCTGTTGGGGGAAAACAGAGCCTCGGTCTTGATGTTTGGGGAGCTAAGATTCTCACCTCCACGGGCAATATTCTCCTGTGTGTCCGGCCCAGGGAGGTGGGTGCAGGTGTTGCTGCCAGCAGCTGGATCCCAGGGCGCTATCCCCTCACCGGGGCCGGCTTCCCGGGCTGCCAGTCCCGCAGGCCCGTGCTCAGAAGGGCATCGCACCTCCTTGCATGCTGTGTCCCAGCCACCTTGAAATTCAGCATAACCTAGGGCCCCGCTTTTTATTCCACACTGAGACCCATAAATGACTGCTGGTTGCTACTTGCCCTCCCATCACCCAGGTTCCACTGGGATAGTCGCACCTGGTCCTGCTACTTGAACAATCACCATCAGGGCGGCTGGGCGTGGGTCCCTGCTTGGGGCACAGGTGGGAGCTGGGCTTTAACCCAGGTGTGACCCAGAGGCGGTGCCTTCTGTCACTCATCTCCCAGAAGGGCTGCCTTTTTCTAATTTGGCATAAAGACGCTTCCTTTGCTGGCGGGAGCCCTGCTCCTGTCCACGGGCACCCATAATAAGAGAAATGCACATTAAAACCCCACTGAAATACCATTTGTATGTATCAGAATAGATAAAAACCCAAAAGTGTGACAGCCTGCCCTGTCGACAAGGATGTGGGGGGACAGGCGCTGTGGGAGGGCAAAATGCCCACGGAGAGCCAATCGGCGTCTCCATCCACATTATGAATGTGTTCATCCTTTGGCTCAGCGACCCCTCTTCTAGAAATTTGCTCTATGAAGGCACACAGGCACATGCAGAGCAATTCCTGGGGAATTTTTTCATTGCCACATTATTCTGAATTGGATTGGAAATAACCCAAGTATCCGTGTGGAGCGGACTAATGAAATAAGCAATGACGACCTCAAAACGGAATGCGTCTGTTTAGGGAGGGAGGCTTTCTCTCAGATAGGAAACCGCCATGAGGGCAGCCAGGGAAAGGGATGGGGTGAAGGGCAGTGTTGGGGGCTGGGGGGTTGCATTTATGGAGGAAAGGGTGGAAGTGTGAACACATTTGTGTTGCTATTGCCATACACCTTGAAGGACACACAAGTTCATTAGAATGGCTGCCTACGGAGAGAAAGCAGGGCGAGCATGGGAATGGGGTGGGCACAGATGCGTGATAGGAAGGTTCCTCCATGTATAATTTTTAGCCCCATGCTTGTATTTCCTATTCAAAAGAAAGTGAGCATCAGCAAACACATTCCCTTCCTCAGACAGCCACCAAATGTTAGACAATATAGTCTCATCCAGGAATTGGCCAACTGCGGCCTGTCTTTTTTTTTTTCCAATAAGGTCTGTAGATGAGTTAATAGTGTTTGTTTGCTGGTTCCTATCATTGTACCATGGCTACATGTGGGGTGTTAACATACGGGGAAGCTGGGATTCCTGGGGAATACAGGCATGTCCCACTGCAACTTTTCTGTAAGTGTAAGTGTGTTTCAAAATAAGGTGGTTGGTTTTTTTTAAGAGAGAGAAATAAATAATTTTTCCTCATACACAAAATAGGAAATAGTAGTAGAAAAAAATTCAGCCATAATCCTGAGACAAAAAAGAACCATTGACAAAAGGCTGAGTCTTTGTCCTAGCCAGCTTGGCTCAGTGGATAAAGCATCAGCCTGCTGACTGAAATGTCCCAGGTTCAATTCCAGCCAAGGGCACATGCCTGGGTTGTGGGCTTGATCCCCAGTCGGGGGTGTGCAGGAGGCAGCCGATAAATGATTCTCTCTCATCATTGATGTTTCTATCTCTCTATCCCTCTCCCCTCCTCTTTGTGAAATATCAATAAAATATATATTTTTTAAAACTTTTCTGAACACTTATGATGCTGAAAGCACTTTCCATCTGAGAAGGTCTACTCTATGTAAAATTGCAACCCACCTTCACCCACTCCCTCTTGCCACCCCTTCTCCATCTCTATTGCTTCTGTTCATTGCACGATCCCCACCAAAGAGGCTGGCTATATAATTTATTTTTTGTGTCTTTTGTTTATTCTTTGTCCCTCTCCACTAAAAAGGCTCACCTTGAATACAGGTGTTTTTTTGTCCACTGATGTACTCCAAGTGCTGAAATTAGTCCTTGGGTGTAGGAGGCTGTCAAGAGACCAAATCATTGACTTCAAATTCTTGTGGGGGAAACCCTGAGAAGATGGGACCAGAGCAGCCACGTGGGCAGCCAGCAGAGTCCGTGAGTGCTGCGGCCTGGATGCAGTGCCAGGGCCCTCCAGGATCGGGGCGGTCAGGGAGGCAGTTTGCCTATTGTAGACATGACCATGTTCCAAACACTGCGGTGCTTAACAAAAGACCAAGGTCTACTCTAGCCCCTCCCCTCTGAACCCTGACTTAGGCTAAAGCAAACAGCTCTGAGAGCGAAAATCCCAGGCGGACAGAGATCCCTGGAGGGTGATGGGTTTGCTAAGCACAAGTCCCACCAGCTGAGTGGCTTAAATGGCAGGATGTATTGTTTCATCGTTCTTGAGGCCAGAAGTCTGAGATCAAGGTCCGGGTGTAGCGGGTTCCTCGGGAGGGAGGGCCCTGAGAGAGAATCCGTTCCATTTTCTGCCCTAACCGCTGGGATTTCCCGCCACCTTCAGCATTTCTTGGCTTATAGAAGCATCGAAGACCTCAGCCTACATCTTCACATGGTGTCCTCGCTGCATGTGTCTGTGCCCAAATTTTCCCTTTTTGTAGGGACACCAGTACTAGTGGATTCAGCCTAATAACTTTATCTTAAAGGCCCTGTTTTCAAATAAGGTTACACTCCGAGATACTGGAAGTTAGGACTTCCACATAGGACTTGGCCCGGGGACACAGTTCACCCTCACACAGGCCTAGCATTGGAACTACATTGCATCTTCGAGGTGAACGCTGCCTCGGAGGCTGTTAGCACAGACGAGCTTATGCTGCAGTCACTACCAGTCTCAGTGACCAGTGACTGAAACCAACACGTCCTTCTCCCTAAGTCCCATGAGGGTCTGTGGGTCTCTCCCGGGCAGGTGTTCTCCAGGCCCTGACTCGGGGATCCAACCTGCTGCCCGCTTCTGGTCCCACCACGAGGGACAGGGAAAGGCCCCTCGGCACCAATGCTCAGGTGCTCTCACCGGAGCCAGTCCCCTGGGCCTGCGCACCTGGAGGGGCACCTGGGGAAGGGGGCACAGGTGGAGTGTTTAGGAGCTCCGGCCTCTGCCACGCTGGCTGTTTTGGGGCTGGTGTCAGGGAGTGTTTACCGAAGGCCCTGGAACCTCAATTCTGAGCATGTCTTGAAGGGCCAGGGAGAAGGTATTTGCTTTAGGAATTAAAGCTGGAGTCACCCACGTCCCTGACCGGTGAAAAAGAAAGAACAATAGAGCTGGGAAGCAGTCATCAGTTTCGTCTCCGGACAGGTAAGGACTGGGATAAGGTGGAGGCAGTGCTTTAGGATGAACTCCAGGGCAGGCTCTGGCTTTTTCCAGAAGGGGAGGAGGAGGAGGAGGAGGAGAAGAAAAAGAAAGAGGAGCACAAAGAGAAGGTGGAGGTGCTGGCCCAATAGGAAGGGACCATCTGCTTCACTGCACCCCTTTCCCTGCTAGGGCCGCAGGTGAGGTGGAGGGTCGGGAGGCAAGACAAGTCCTCATACCCCCTACCACCTCCCCCATTTTGTAGAGGTTGAGTATGTACTTCCAGTGAATAAATGATGGATGGAATGAATGAATAACAATAAATGCATGCGCACATGTGTAAATGTGGTGCATGTGTGTGTGTGAGTGTGTGAATGTGTGTGCATGTGTGTGAGTGTGTGTATGTATGTGTGAGTGTGTGTGTATGATTGTGAGTGTGTGTGTGAGTGTGTATGGGTGTGTGTATG